GCAAGCCGTGGAGAATTTCGCGAGACTCTACACGGCACTGCGCCACGACGATGCTAGGCCTCTCTGTCGTTACTGCGGCAGAAGCTACTCGTCGCCGAGCAACCTTCGGCAACACGTGAAAAATGTCCACTCGAATTGGCCGCCGCCGGAGACGTGGCCGCAGTGCAACGTGTGCGGGAAACGGTGCAAGACCAAGCATTACCTGATCAATCATCAGCTTCAGGCGCACGGAATACACCAACGGCCCAGTTTGAACAATCCTAATCAACAGCAGCATCAGTCACCCTCTTCGTCCTCCTCATTGCCATGAGTGCGGTCCTCGTCGTCTGCCGTCCCGTTCTCGTCGAACAGCATCCACAAAAAACGATCCGCGACCAGATGAAGTCGGGGGTTGTTCTTGCATGTCATTCGTCGATACAGGATGACCGTAATTGGTACAGAAACGAATCGAGATTTTCGATCGGATTATTTTAGAACTCGAAATGGTCGCTGTCATTGTATCCATGATAGATATTATCCGGTTTCGGTTCGATTTCAGTCGGTTTATCGTCGCGTTATTTTTACAAAAGAGAAGATATTCGAGAAAATCAGGTTACGTCCTGATTCGTATTTATACATAGAACGAGGGAGGTTAAAACGGTTAAAGCGTGACGTTCGAGGTGTGGTCGCCTGTATCAGCGAGGTCACATTCAGATTCCTATTTTCTACAGACTTTAAGCAGATGGCAGACGAAGTGATCAAGAATCCTTGCCATAGACAAGGAACTTTACCGTTTTACAGTGTAACGAGGTACGCTTAACGTTCCACGATCACGGATATCATACGTAGAAAAGACAGTATAATAGACACGGTACGAACGAAAGGTCCGTAATAAGATTTCCGGCAGGTTCGAAGATAGACGTGGCAAACATGGAAAAATCTATCGAGTATAATATGCTCGATCGCTTACGTAAAGTAAAAGGGGTATTTTCTAAGTTAACACGTAATAAAGAACGCTTACACACCTCCGCCACCTTCGAGACAAAATCCGCGTGGATCTGGTTTTGGAGTCGACGAACTATAATATCCGGGGAAGCGTGTTCAGCCACCCCACGCATACGCGCGCGTATATTCACAGAGAGAATCGAACGGTTTCCGTAATAATCTGGCACGTGAGATTCTGCCGGGACACGTTCAAGCGTCTCTACCGTCAGTATTCGATTTACGCGGTGATTGCGCGAATTCCGTGCAGTCCTCTGTCTGCCAATTGCGCGCGATATCGAGCAGAGAGAGAGAGAGAGAGCAATTAGCGATCCGCCAGATATACCAGTAACCGGTAACTATTTGCGGGAGACGTAACCTCTCTAGATATTCCGCATGAATCAATGGGGGGATACGGGTGGGTAAGGATTTACAGGGGAAATCCGGGGGGTCGGAAGGCGGTTTGAACACATATTCGCGCGCTTTGGTACTCTCTGTTTTTATTAGGGAGGGGCTTGGGTTTGAGTTTATGATGGTGGTGGCTGGTGGTAACGTTGGTGTGGTGGTGGTTGCAGATCACGGGCTCGATGAGGCAGAGGGCGCGGCTTACCACCACCACCACAGCCATCACCAGCAACATCATCGGCATCGTCATCATCATCCACTATCCGTTCCTCCTCCTCACCATCATCATCAGGCGCTACAGGAAGACGACCAGCAGCAACAGCAGCAAGACCAGTCGACCACCACCGCATCCACCACGAGCACCACTACGACCAAATATCAACGGAGCCCGGCGGACTACAGGCAGCAAAAGATGATACGCGATCATCATCAACAGCACGGTTACAGATGTCCTCTTTGTTGTAGGACGTTGCAGGATATCAGTACAATGAGGGCTCACTTGGAGCATCATTATCCGCGAGACTCGCCCACATGTCCCGTTGCCTCTTGCGCGAAAACATTCTCTCACCCTAACAGTGTGAGGAACCACATGCGTTTGAAGCATCCGGTGCAATGGGATCAGATAAAGACGCTTAGATGGACTTACGTCTGATAAAGAGGCAACGAACGATCGCTGGCTATCTGTCTGGGTTACATTAAAATCTCGTAGTCATTTTATTTTTCTTGTCGCGCATATCCGATTTCGTATTTTTTAAATGTTTTCTTTCTTCTTCTCGGTTGAATATTGCTATCTGTTCTTCGTTTGTTTCTAGAAGTACTTCGTTCGGTATGCGAATTTAAACGCGGTTTTTTTATTCCCTTTGTCACATCGTTTCATCGATCCGAGTACACGTGTCTCGGTATCTGTTTCTTGGACACAGTGGAGGGTGCGTTTCTACGAAAAGGTCTCGCGTGCCAGAGTCTATAATCGTTCGAAGGGGTTGTATACGCGATTTTACGAGCTGGTTGAATGTAAGTATACCATCGGTACGGTGTAGTAGCAGCGGAGGAGGAGAGGAGGGTTGAGAACGATTTCGAGGCGAGTTACGTCTAGGATGACATTGTCCCTTTTTAGTGCTTTATTCTCGAGACGTCGCACAACCACCCACCTCTCTTCCTGACAATTCATGCCCACTGAGAAGCGCACACTTTGTAAATATATTCGGGAGATTATTATTATTATTATTATTATATATATATATATATATATATATAAAGAGATGAAAAGAGAAGGAATATATTATATATAAATATAAATATAAATATAAATATAGAGAGATATATATATATATAAAGAATAAATCTATATATATATAGAAGAGAGAGAGAGAAAGAGTTGATTTTGTATAAAAAGAAAAAAAATGTACGAAACAGTATTTCTAGTAGAGCCTGATTAAAGAAAAAAAAAAGAAAAAAAGATAAAAAGGAAAAAACTGTAGTCACATCAATAGAGATCGTGTATTAATAAGGGCGACGTTGTTTGTAAGACTACGATGTTGACGATAATATAATTAATGATTAGGTTAACGTATCTTAAACAAGAGAAAACAATGTTCCTCTAAAGCTGAGTAAGCCAGCCTTACGTTAACGAGCGTAGTTTTTAAGGAAAAGCGTAAAACACGAGTCGGGAAAAGTTTTTAGTCTACGAGCGAAACATAGTCGAGTTTATAACAGTAGAAGAACGGAACGATAAAATATTGGGAAAGGAAAGAACGGCGCGTGGAAGAAAGAATGTTTGAACGCGTATCGGGACTAGTTGTGCGATGCTTCCGTAATCGTTATTCGATGAAACGCGCCGCAATACGAATATTAATACGTATATTTACACGTACACACACACGCGTAGAGAAACATAGAATATACGAATATATATTGAAATGACAGACGATATAACGCGTCAGCGAACGTTGGAGAAACGATCGACCAGCACACGATGAACAGTCGATTCAAGAACAGCGCCTAGCCTTATTTTTCTACAGTCTTGTGTTTTTTCGTCAGTATTCCCTAGGTAAAGAATATCCCCCGATCAGGTTAAGTTTTTTCGACACACCGATGTACGATAGTTACTAGAGGATACGCTGCGAATAAAATTACGAGGAAAATATATATAAATATAAATATATTATATATTCGCGTGCACGAGTTGTTGGTTGCGCAAGTGAAAAAGAAACGATCTCTATTCTTCGTAGATACGACGATGGTGGCTAGTCTCGAACATTCGTTACAATCGATCCTTTTATTTTCCGGTAAACTCGATATCCTATAATCTTTGATTTTTAATTTAACAAGTTGCTCGATGGAAATCCCTTTCACAAGCGACAGCTCGTGCCACGAACAATGTATAGAGCATCATACGCACTATTTTAGCAGATACTAGCATACGTAAGATTATACATAAGACACACGAAATGAAGTATATACTATTTAAGTAATGCTTTGTACAATAAAAGGTATTCAAAGAAGCTGACGTGGCTCGTCAATCTTCGTTCCAATGGATCCACATTTGTTCAGTTTACCAAGCCAAGACTATATTATGAGTTCTACAACGGAACAACGTTTCTTTTTCCTTAAGTTCTCTCTGTCTTTCGTTTTCTATTTAACGTTTATTTTTTTATTTCTTTCCATGCTGTTTAATTGGCTGGGGCTTGCGCTACCCTTAGCTGCAAGTTTCTCGGCAAGAAAAAAAAAAAAAAAAAAAAAAA